ATATGGAGACAAAATGTCAAACAGAAAAGTTGTGTAAATGATCTGAAGATAACTCATAGTGCATTTCATAATGAACAGATAAACAAAATGAGATCATAAACTTTGCGTTGTGTTTGTTTGTGATATTTACTTCTTTGATCTTGTCTTTGCAAAACCTGTACTCTTTCTTCTGATTCTCTAAGAAATTAGCCAGCTCTTTCTTTTGCTGAGCAACAATCTGTTGCTGGATCCTCCTCTCTTCTGCTGCAACAGACTTAATCTGTGAAGAGATAATCAAATAAACACCCTTTATTGACTGTACAGGCACAAGTTTGCCATGAAGTGACATCACTGAGTAGTTTCCACCTCATTCATACACCAGCTGTCAGGGCTGTACCTCTTTGTCTGTTTGAGCAGCGTGTCGTTTGGCCAGTCTTTCCAGCTCAATGTAAGTGTTGTTCGCATGTGTCTCTAATTCTTTCTGCAGCCGGAGCCTATGCTCATCCATCTCGGCCTTTAGCCTATTCTCCAGGGCGATCAGCTGCTTCTGGTGCTGCCGCCGTGTGCGCTTATACCCAGACATCTGCTCCCGCAGCTCAAAGTCCTGCTCATGCTCCTGGATCTACCTGATGACCTGGACAGAGGAACACAGGAAGCAGGAAGTCAAAGAAAACGGAGCAGGCAGAGCGAAACAACTGCCATGGTGGAGACAGAAGAAGGGGGGGAGACAGACAGCTGGTAAGTCAAAGGGTTACGGCCTAAAACAGAACAGTGCAAACAACAAGTCTGCAAACTAAAACAAGTAATCCATTTGCAGATTACGTCCACAGTAACCCAAGAACTTAAAAAGGGTTGAATCAGAAGTCTGACAATCCTTTAGGGTTGATGGTATCAATGCCTTTCAGCATCAGATTTTTTTAAAAGCGGTGAACTGCTTTTTGATCCAATTCATACTCTTGATAAGAATCAACTTGCAATACTAGAAAGCAACATCAATTAATCCATCAGTCACTTAAGCAGCATTGATGGCAATGATGTCATTCTTATGATGAAGACCAATCTGTCAAATTACTGTTCAAGATATGACACAAGATGTGGAGATGCAACATTTACAATGTGACACAATGTCATTGGTAAGCGACATCATGGAATACATATACATGCAATGCACACGCATTCAAGCAGAAGCAGAGAGAGGGGAAGCTGAGGATGGAAAAAATGACATCCATTAACAGGATCTGGTTGCCATGACTACAGATGTACAGCTGAGAACACAGACACCCCCCCTTCCCTCCCCTCCCCACCCCCCGTCGCCTGCACGCACACACGCACACATGCACTAACACACACACGCGTTTTTGTATGCAAACGGAGAGAGGGAGAGAGGGAGGGAGGGAGAGAGAGAGAGAGAGCTGCGTACCAAAGATGCTGATTTGATGGTGGCAATGTGTTCACAGATCTTGCAGTCGAGAGACCGGCTCTTGTGAGAAGTAGGCCGCAGCTCTGGCCTGGTGTCCCTGTGCACAGCCTCATCCCTCACGCAAGCATGGTCCTGCAGGGGGGGAGGAAAAGGAGGAGATAGTGGGGCTGGGTGCTTCCCAGGCCCTCCGCACTCGCTGTTTCTGCTAGAGCTGCTATTATTGCCGAATCTCCCTGAATGCAGCACACATCCAGCTTTAAATGCATCCTTCCCCTGCTTGTTCCCCCGCTACTGTCTGCAAGTTCTTCCTACGAGAGAGAAGGGCATAGCCAAACAATTGCAGGCACCACCGAGGAGGCAGCTACTGGATGTAGTCGGTTTTTTTCTGGCGTCCCCCTCTTCTCAGAGAGGAGGAACCAAATGGCTCCGGTGGATAAGGGTGAATTATGCAATGCCTACCATTGATAATCGGAGAAAGATAGCACAGGGATGTATGTTACTGCCACTCTTCTTATCCGTTTCAAAATGCAAGAAATGTTTGGAAGGAAAAATAGTTTTCCTGTGTTCCAATGATCGCATGTGGTGCCATGTCTAAAAATATTTGATTCAGATAAGGCACATCCAAACATGGTTTTCCCTCGAATATGTCGCTTGATGATCCGTTTGTATTCCACTCGAATTTCTGTCCTACATTTACAGCGCACTTGGTCATGGTAGGTGGTTCTGGTGCCTTCTATTCATCTCTTCCCTCTGTCCCTCTGCTACACTCCCCCTTCCTTTAAAGAGACACCGCAATACTACAGGCACCTCTCAACCAGCCTCAAGTTTTTTTCACATCAGGCTCTAACACCGGATTCTTTTTGAGAAATGAAAATGGTTAGAACAAAACCCACATATATTGAAAGCATACATGTTGTCAGTACTTGAAAAAAACGGAATTATAATAATTATTTTTACAATATTGTTTATTTTCTCTAAAATTCACTGCTTTTCTTCATCATATTTAAAAAAAACTACAGATTTATAATACCTGTAATTCTTTTAGATTTGTTTCCCCTCTCTCTTTCATTAGTGAAAGAAAGAAAAATCAGACCCATCACTTTGCTCTAAAATATTGACATCATCACTGGCAAAATAAATAATGGGATCTCTGTATAAACTGATACTGCATATCCCCCTACTTATTGTTACATTTACCATTCCAGATTTATTCCAGCAACGTGTGCACACTGCACCATTGCACCACTGTATTACTGTTAACACGTTGTGTTGTTCTTCTACATATGTATTTATATTTATACATCCTAGTCAAATGTTGATGTTATCCTTTGTCCTTGCTTTAGCTGTAGGACTATGTCTGTGAATGAACATTGAGAGAAACGAATAACAGGGGTCAGATTTTCTGGCCTGGATAATGAAGCTAATATTGAATCTGATATAGACAAAAAAAATGTTGGCTATGGACTAATAACATTTTGTTTGGAGTCATTATAAAGCAAAGACACTTACTTATAGTTTTACACTTTCGACAATATTATTAGCTCTGTCGTTACTTTTTGTGGCCGCTAGAGGACACCAACATTTAAATGCAGTATGTTGCTCTCCATGGTGCTGAATGTATGGTCATGCATCAACTGTCACCGATGCTGCTACAACTCATTAACATTACTGCTTCTATGCTAAAACAGAGTGCACCTTAGGAAACATGCAGTACTTCCGGTAACCACCTCATATTCCCACCAATCTCCTAGAAACAGCCTGGAGCTCTTTAGCAACAAGCTAACAACCACCACCTGCAGAACCCCCCAGCAACCACATAGAAGCTGGACCTGGAAAAACCTCGAAGCCCTGTCAGACTATAAAATCCTTACAGAAAGAGTGAATATTGGGGTAGTTACACACTGAACTCACCCAGTTGAATGGGTTAACGTTCAACCCTAATTTACAGTATTTTTTGACTTAATGCTTTGGTAATTTTAACTCATATAAGTTATTCACCTTGTTGTTTAGTAAAATATGGTAAAAGTAACAATGAAAATAACATTTGTAAAACAATTTTTATTATATTTAGTCATGACTTGTATGTGTTTAAACCGACTACTGGTTGGATAATAAACACACAGGCCAAGAAAGTATTTGTGTATGCGATTCAAATTAAATGATTTCTAATTTTATTATATCATTTGTTTTCCAACAATTATTTGCCAAAATTGCGTTATTCCACTAAATGGTGCCTCGTTGTACCTCTACAAAAACTCTCACTTTAACGTGTCATACCAAGTTCCACCAGTAGATGTCGCGGTCTATTATTAATTGGCCTTCTTTAGATCAGCTGATCACCTGACTCTTGCTGATGTTATGTTCATTTCGTTGCAAACCTTTCATCCAGCTCAAAGTCTGCAGTAAAGTTCCGTGTTAGATTGTATGTGACCACAGCAAATTTAAAATGTTTTTGGTGCAATATATTTCAGAAAGCTAATTTAAAAAAAAAACGATCTTTCAAGATGCAAAGGCTTTATTTTCATATGCACAGTAGCTACAGTGTAGTTATGGCAACGAATACCTCAAGTACCGAGCTACTCCAACAATGCAATATAGTATATAGGACATTAAACAATAAGACAATAAAATGAAATAAAAAAAATAGAATTGTACAAAAATGAAAACAGAGTAGAATGGAGTAGAATAAAATAGAGCAAATATAATTTGGTGTTATAAACCTAAACCAGTTTATTAGCATGATCTAAATGGGATTTTCTTTTAAGATATTTTAGAGAAACTGCAGAGGAAGTTTTACATAAATAAATACAATAATCTGGAATGCCATAACAAAACTGTCGCTCAAAGAGGAGCGAGACAGTGGCCGTTTCTCAATCTCAAGGATGCTGGCTTGGTAGTCGCGTACTTCCAAGTCACTCCCTTCAGAAACGAAGCAAGTATACTTCCAAGCCACGGCTTCGGAAAACGAAGAAGAATGGAACAGGCTAACAAGTGTGCCACTCTCTCTAACGGTTTCAACATAAACTGTATCGAAAATAAATACCTCACGATGTCTATATAATTATGAACTTGCTTTACTTTCACGGAACACATTTTTGGTGATAACAAACAAATGTAACAAAGTAACATATTTACCCACACATGTTCTACGCCACTACATACTTACATTTCAATGTGTGCTGCGTCGGTTCAGCCATTCTCCGCAAGGGTTTTTGAAATCGGTCCGTGCGCAAAGCATTGTGGGGATTTTAAGGACGCGAAGTCTACCCATGTGCAGCCTCGAAATTTTCCCCAAACCAAGGACGCGGCCTCGGTGGAATTCCAAGTATGCTGGAGATTGGAACAGTCCTTCGGCGGCACTCGATGACGTAGCATCCTTGAAATATTGGCTTGGAAGCCAGTATCCTCGAGATTGAGAAACGGCCAGTGTCCAAATAGTGCACTCAATAGGACTTTAGTGCCCTCTTGTGGACTACTTACAAGTATTTCAGGAAAGCCTTGAGAAAGTGCAATGGAGGAATAATCAATACAGATTAAACCTGTTTCTATTAATCATATCATGTGATTACAAATGCATCAGTAATGAAGGACACTAAAGGAGGAATGTACATATGTTTTTATTTATATGGCAGAAGCTGTTTAATACATATGTGGAAGATAATATATCAGCTTCATTATGTTGGTATTCATTACATCAATGTACAACATAAAGGACAAACACATAATGAATCTATAGTACAGCTTTTACATGGTTGCTCTTTGCCAAAGTAAAACGAATAACTACATGTATTATTGATTATATTGTCATGTTACACAGAACTATACACACAAGCTGCTGAGATATAAATACTCAATTTCCACTGTCCATTATTGGCCAGTATTGTCAGCCGTAATCTCAACAGTTGCTTATGTCACAAAACTACAGCTGGTAATATTTGTAATCAATTAAGATATTAGAAGTGCATAACAAATGATGCTATGCTGTTAGGAAGACAAGGTCATACTAATCATTGTTATAAGCATTGACAAGCATATATAAATTATTGTCTTTTAATGTCGGCAACAGAATGGTGAAGATGTTTTATCATGCTTTTATCGAAAGTGTGCTCTCCTTCGGCATTATATGCTGGTTCGGCAACGCAACTGAGGCACAGAAAAAGTCAGTCAGGAGGGCCATAACATTGTCCATTAAATTGACAGGAATCTCATTTGCTAATATAGAATGCTTATACAAGGACAGAGTGACCTGAGGCACCCTCTTGCCTCTTACTTTGAACTGTTGCCATCCGGGCGGAGATATCGTCCCCCTCTGTTAAAAAAGAACAGATCTCGGCTGTCTTTCGTCCCACAAGCCATCAAACTCCTAAATAAATTATGGCTAGGACGCACTGTTTACCCAGCTGGTCTGACCCTGACCCCGCTATTTCGCAAATGAGGGCCTATAGGGCCCTTGTCATGTCTGCCGATATCTGGTTTTCTTATGTCTGTTTGTTTTAATCTGTGTCTATGTTGTTGTCAGTGACGTATTGTCTTACTTTTTAAATGCCTTTGTGATGTGCTGCAACCCATTTTCCCCTCGGGGACAAATAAAACGAATACATACATACATAACTCCGTACAGTTCACAGTTGATTCTGTGTTATATTGATGAGTCTGCATTACATTTTTGAAAGTAATTGTAATGGTGACAATACAAACAGTATCAGACTCCTATAGCAATAAAACAAGCTTGTTATTAAAGAATGGACACATTTGGTGTATGCCTGTGCACAGTGCACCTAAAGTTGCTACACACAACAGTTCCTGCTACGTCTCATGGTGGTTTCAAATTCCAGCTTACTTCACTTTTCACCGTCCTGCGTGTGTTTGATCTGAACAGGTATGACAATCTCATTGGCTGGATTGCTGACGGATGTCCCGGGGGCCGGGGCCTCTATGGACAGGACTCCATCACCTGACAGAGAAGAAGTGATGTGCTGCAAGTCCACCCCCTGTGGCAACCTTTTAAGAAACAAAGAGTGAGTGTATGTTTAACACTTTTCACAAATTGTTTGCATTACCAAGACTGTTAATACAATAGGCCTACACAGCACACCTATACAACGTACTTGTATTTCCGGGTGAAGCACCTTGAAACAGATCCATGATCATCCTGCTTTTCTTCATGATTTCCTTGTAATGACAAATAATTGATTATAGGAAACAATTGAATCCAGGTCCATGTATGTAGTGGATGAAAAACCTTCTTTTGATGCTTTCACTTAAGTTTAATCACATCATATAAATAGCTTGTGGGAAGTCATAGAATCATGAGCAGAGTACCTGATATTTGCAAATATCCCTCCTTGGTTGTGATTGTAATCTCCTCTGGCGAGAAGTGATTGACGTCCAGGTTAATCTTCCAGCTGTCCTGCCCTGTCCGGATCTCTGTCACCCCACTTGTCAGCTGTTGTGGAGCCTTTGGGTTCAACGCTGCAGGGTGCTGACCACTGAATGGAGGCAGAAGGGGATTTTGTGCATACCCCGGCCAGGAGAAAGAAGCCAGTCTCTTCTTTGACCAGTCGATCCAGTCTATATCGCTGGGGTCCAGGAAAGGTGGGAGGCCAAAATCCTGCGCAAAGATTCGGCTCGGCTGCGTCCAGTTTGGGAAGGGTTCCCAGTTTACATCTCTGCGGAAGATGGGACGGTTTAATGCTTTATCTGGTTCCCCCATATCCAAAAGATAAGCTCAGAATGAAGGGAAAGGATGTTGAAAGTGCAAAAATCTGTAGTTCTACCCTAACAAACAAGTCCAGATTGATAACCTGGGCACTATACAATAGGCTGCTGTGTTTTCATTCTCAACAGAAAGTGAGCAGCAGGACTGAAGGAAAGGCTGCTCTAGCATCTGTAATGCTCTACTCACACACATTTATACCCCACTGATTCATTCCAGCACTTGTCCAGCATTAAGTGTGATCTAATTGATGAGAATGACTTGGTATGTCATGGGCCGGGGCGTTACTCTGCCGTTGCCCCGGGACCAGGAACGGATAATGCTAACTATTTTGTATTTATATCTCTGGAGAGTCAGTGTCAAGTTGTTGGAGAATGACTGTGGGAGCAGTGAGCAGCCAGTTTATTCAGCGGTGGAATCTGCAGTCTTGTCACATACTGGTGCTCTTTGTCCAAAGAAATCACGGCCTTGTGTTATGTGAGGGAACAGCACGGACATTCAGAGTCACACGGTAAACAACTTCCAGCTAGACAACACAAGATTGGAGAAAAACACACAGTGTCATGTGGTGAGCATTTAGGGCAAATTACAATGTTGAAGACTTGTTTACATACAGGACAAAGTGATGGACTGAGGCAGTGACGCAGTCGAGTGCTGGTGAGGAATCTAACATGTAGAGCTATGGGTCAAATAAATAAAGCCTTTTGCCAACAGAGTGGATCCACATTTAATAATGAGGCAATTTCTGTAGCCTTTCCATCTTCACCATCAAAAGCATTAGTCCAACTATATATTAAGCATACATGGTAGAAATACAATGTCACAGAGTAGCTCTAGTAACTAAACTCATAGTGATTGGAGTGACACTATGATGACGAAACTATTGTTAGCAACACCATCTTGGATTGTGTCATTTATTTAAATTGCCAACACATAATTAGCTACAACATAGATACAACACATAAGTACATTTGCTCAAGTACCATACTTAAGGACTATTTTTGATTTAATTTACTTGAGTTTTTCCATTTTCACTTCGAATGCAAATGTTTTTTTTACATGTATATAACACTCATTGTTACTAGTTGCTTTTTATATATAAAAACATATGCTAATATTATATAAGGCAGTACTTTACCATCAATTGTATTTTAAAGTATTTTGAATCTCTTAAACTGTCTCCACATTGACAAACTACAAAATTAAAATGCTGGTATATGATAAAAACAGGATAATACAGTATTCTTTAATAATAACATGCTTTTATTCTGCATACTGGTTACTTTTAGCTGATTATACTTCTGCTCTCTACTTTTTGATACTAATACTTTTTAAAATTCTGGATTCAGGTTGTTGACTTGTGATGGAGTTTTTTTAACACCATAGTAATTCTCTTTTACTGAGGTAGAGTGTGGGGGAAACTTCTGTAGCAATTGGAAACAGGACTCAGAGAGACACGAGGAGAGCTGGAGCTTTGATGGCAAACACTGACGGTTTATTTGGAGCTTTGGCCGGAGAATTCACAAGACATGTCACGGGCCACGAGTTGACCACACGGTTGAGATGCCACAATCAATTCTGAAGAACCCTACCCCATGTATTTAGCTAGTTCTGAGAGAAGAATCAACATTGTGCATAACAAGATAGAATGATAACACCTCTATCAGCTGACGCCAACAGGCAGGAACAGGGAGACAAAACACTGAGAGCACAGCAGCCAAGGTTACAGTGCCTGTGCTCAGTCAGGACAGTATGAACTGATAAACTGGGTCAAAGTTATGGGCCTTGGAAAATATTTCCCCAACATAGAGGATCCGAGTACTTTATCCAACTCTGGTTAATGTGTGCAACTCGATTTTGACAGGAAAGCTACTGGAGACTTCTAGAATTGTGTGAGTAACATTCTGTTTTTAGACTTCTCTATTTCAGTGTGTGTACTCTGTATCAATGCTCTGTAGTTGATCTGACTGAAATTGTGATTTTAAATCTCAAAACTGCTACAGTATCTGTCAGGCAGAAACTTGGGAACAAGTAATTTGACTGAAACCTTAAAAGTGAACTAACTGACTGCTAGGGTTAACTTTGATTTAAACATTTGTAGAATACTAACAGCTTTATTGAGTAGGTGTAACTGTATTAAGGGTTAAACTCATAACTTTATAACTTAGGGTTTAATGTAATTGACTTAAAAGACAATAACAAATCAGGAGGAAGCCAGTCTAGATTTCCTTTTGAGGGCCACCAGCTGCAGAGAGTTAACTAATTAAAGGGACGTTGCCCCACAGCTGTGAGAACTCAGCAATCAGGTGTCCATTTTAGGTAGCACTTTCCTGGAGCGTCAGCTCCAGCGTCAGACAGGCTAAGACATTAGAGTCCTGCTGGAGTCACGAGGGAGGCAAAGAGGAGGCAAATCCTACTCTGATTGATCTAAGTATCGCTGGTGTTTTATTTTCTTTGGTTGTTTAGCCCCTCATGCTATAATCATGTGTATTTTCTCCATTCCTGTTTATGTGTCTTCTCGCAATTATCACTGGCCCCGTGTATCTCGTAATCGATATAACCGGCCTGCTCTCGTCTATCCCACATGCTCCACTGAGATCCAACATCTAGTTTCAGGCGGCCTGTGGAACTGCCAGTCAGCTGTTCCTAAGGCTGACTTCATCTCTGGCTACACTTCCCTGCAGTCTCTGGATTTCCTTGCTCTCACTGAGACGTGGATTACTCCATCCAACACATCCACCCCAGCAGCTCTCTCCACAGCATATTCCTTCTCCCATACACCTAGACCCACTGGCAGAGGAGGTGGCACTGGTCTCCTGCTCTCTCCCAAATGGAGCTTTTCCCTCTTCAAGCTACCTAACTTCACTCCTTCCACCTTTGAATTCCATGCCGTCACAGTAACCCATCCTATACAATTAACCATTGTTGTTCTCTACCGTCCACCAGGCTCCTTGGGAGACTTCTTGGAGGAATTAGATCATCTCCTCTCACACATCCCTGAAACTGGTCCTCCCGCTGTACTTCTCGGAGACTTCAACCTCCAGACGGGGAAGATAGACGAACTAACATCTCTGTTAACCACCTTTGCTTTCTCACTGTCTCCTTCCCCACCAACTCATAAAGCTGGCAATGTCCTTGATCTCATATTCTCAAGGAACTGCGCTACTTCTAACCTCTCTGTAAATCCGCTCCACACATCCGATCACTTCTTCATTTCATTCTCTCTACCCCTTTCCAAACATAACAAACTAATCTCTTCTCATCCTGCACCTGTCCGCCGTAACCTTCGTTCCCTCTCCCCCTCTACCTTTGCCTCATCGGTGCTCTCAGCCCTCCCTTCCTCTGACTCGTTCCAACTCCTACCTCCAAACTCTGCTGCAGAAACTCTCCTCTCTACTCTCTCATCCTCTCTGGACTCTCTCTGTCCTCTCATATCTCGGCAGGCTCGTCAGTCCCCTCCTGCTCCCTGGCTAAATTATGCACTGCGTGCTAATAGAACAGTCCTTCGGGCAGCAGAGCGGAAATGGTGGAAATCCAAACACCGTGACGACCTCCTAACCTATCAGGCTCTCCTCTCCTCTCCTCTTTCTCTGCTTCGATCTCTCAGGCAAAAAGCACTTTCTTTCAAGATAAGATCCAATCTTCCTATTCCAATTCCAAAAAACTATTTTCCATCTTCTCCTCCCTCCTGGACCCCCCCAAAGCCCCTTCCCCCTCCTCCCTTCTGTCAAGCGACTTTGTTAACCACTTTGAAAAAAAGGTTGATGATATTCGCTCTTCTTTTTCTGACTCACCTCTACTCACCGCTGGGTCACCAAACCCTCCTTCCACCAACACACTGACCTCCTTTTCCCCTCTCTCTCCAAGTGAGGTTCTTACCCTCATTACCTCTGCCCGCCCTACCACCTGTCCTCTGGACCCTATCCCTTCAAACCTCCTTCAGACTATCGCTCCTGATATTCTACCGTTTCTCACCCATTTCATCAACACTTCTCTAACTTCTGGTCACTTTTCCAAACAGTCTCAAGGAGGCAAGAGTAAACCCTCTCCTAAAGAAACCCACTCTCAACCCGTCAGATGTTATAAACTACAGGCCTGTCTCTCTCCTCCCGTTCCTGTCTAAAACACTTGAACGCGCTGTCTTTAGACAACTCTCCTGCTATCTTCATCAGAACAACCTTCTGGATCCGCACCAGTCTGGTTTCAAGGCAGGTCACTCCACAGAAACTGCCCTCCTTGCTGTCACTGAGGAACTGCACACTGCTAAAGCAGCCTCCCTCTCCTCTGTCATCATCCTTTTGGACCTGTCCTTCGCACTCTCCAAGCACTTGGAGTTTCAGGCTCTGCACTTTCCCTCCTCACCTCATACCTCAAAGACCGCACCTACAGGGTTACTTGGAGAGGGTCCGAGTCCGAGCCTTGTCAATTAACTACAGGGGTCCCTCAGGGCTCTGTTCTTGGTCCCCTCCTCTTCTCCTTGTACACAAACTCGCTCGGATCAGTCATTAGCCCGCATGGTTTTTCATACCACTGCTACGCTGACGACACCCAATTAATTCTGTCCTTTCCCCGCTCAGAGACCCAGGTCGTCGCACGCATCTCTGCTTGTCTAGCTGACATCTCTCAGTGGATGTCTGATCATCACCTCAAGCTCAACCTTGACAAGACTGAACTGCTGTTCCTTCCGGGAAAAGATTGTCCCACTCTTGACCTAACAATCAACATTGGCACCTCTGTTGTTTCCCCGACTCAGACTGCAAGGAATCTGGGTGTGACCCTAGATAACAACCTGTCCTTCACTGCAAACATAGCTGCTACAACCCGCTGCTGCAGATACACGCTTTACAACATCAGGAGGATGCGTCCCCAGCTGACCCAGAAAGCGACGCAGGTTCTGGTCCAGGCTCTCGTCATCTCACGCCAAGACTACTGTAACTCCCTCCTGGCTGGTCTACCTGCATGTGCCATCCGACCTCTGCAGCTCATCCAGAATGCAGCTGCTCGCCTGGTCTTCAACCTTCCTAAATTCTCCCACACCACTCCGCTCCTCCGCTCCCTTCACTGGCTTCCGATAACTGCTAGAATCCACTTCAAGACAATGGTACTTGCGTACCATGCTGCGAATGGATCTGGCCCTTCCTACATCCAGGACATGGTTAAACCGTACACCCCAGCACGTGCACTCCGCTCTGCATCAGCCAAACGGCTCGCTGCACCCTCGTTGCGAAGGGGACCCAAGTTCCCATCAGCAAAAACACGTGGGTTTGCTATCCTGGCTCCTAAATGGTGGAATGAGCTCCCCATTGACATCAGGACAGCAGAAAGCTTACACACCTTCCAGCGCAGACTGAAAACTCATCTCTTTCGACTCCACTTCGAGCGATAGAACTATTAACAAAGCACTTATATACTAATAAAGGGCTGGCTTATCTAAAGCCAGTTGAGTAGCACTTGAAATGTTTTTGCTCTATGAAGCCTGATGTACTTATATGATTCTGTTTTCTTCAAGTTTGTATTTTGTTGGTCGAACGCACTTATTGTAAGTCGCTTTGGATAAAAGCGTCAGCTAAATGCAATGTAATGTAAATGTAATGTAATGATGCAATCTCATCTTGGTTTATTAGCAGTGAGCAATATATTTGTATTTTTACTTGGAGACAAATATGAGTTGTGGTGTACTGCAGTGACAACACGCACGTAAAATACTGTATGTGTTACCTTTACAAGCACTTTTGCCAAGAAATGACGCGCCACAGATTGTGTAAAACCTGTGTTTAAAGATGAAGTTACTAAATGCGATTTAAAAGTTATATTTCACACAATTTAGAAAGAAATTCCTAAATAAAACATATAGTTACAATTACATTGTATTGGAAAAACATTATTATCCCTGAATTTGTACATAGCAAACTGTATAACAATATTCATCGGCATTCAATAACAGTACACAAACATTAAGTGCACAGCGAGGAGTTTGGCAGTAAATATAAATGTGATCCAAAAGATGAACAAATGTTTTTTTCAGAAGTCCAAACACTGCCAACGCTTTTTGACATCAACAATAATGGAGTGTTTGGACAGTAGTAGGTGTGTTTGACCTTTGACGAGAGTTAAATCAACTATATTTAGCTCTTTGAACATTAGTGCAGTAGGTCATTGATCATCCAACCTGACGACTGACTGTGAAATACATGAACCCACTAACCTTCAATAACAAATGTGTTCACATTACAATAAACGAAAGGTATAGTTTTAAAACCCAGAATGCTTTGTGGTTATGGTGTGTGTGTGGTCAAAGGTGAAGGCAGGTTAAGATATAGTAGAGGCTAAAGTATGTAGCTACTCTTTAACCGTGCATTGACCCTTGATCCAGTTAATGGTGTAATTTAGTTTTGCATCATTGCTCTGTTTTGCAATATTTATCACTAAATTAAGATATTATTTGTGTGTTTTACATTACATTACATTGCATTTAGCTGACACTTTTATCCAAACAACTTACAATAAGTGCATTCGACCAAGAAGATACACAATCTTAAAGAAAACAGAATCATATAAGTACATCAGGTTTCATAGAGCTAAAACATTTCAAGTGCTACTCAAGTAGCTTTAGGTAAGCCAGTCCTTTAGTAGTATATAAGTGCTTTGTTAATCATTTTATTGCTCGAAGTGGAGTCGAAAGAGATGAGTTTTCAGTCTGCGCCGGAAGATGTGTAAGCTTTCTGCTGTCCTGATGTCAATGGGGAGCTCATTCCACCATTTTGGAGCCAGGATAGCAAACCCACATGTTTTTGCTGATGGGAACTTGGGTCCCTCTCGCAGTGCGGGTGCAGCGAGCCGTTTGGCCGATGCAGAGCAGAGTGCGTTCTTATCTTCTGTCAGCATGGATTTATGTATGCACTAATTTTCAAGTTAAACTACTTTGACTAGATGAGGAGTTGTGATTAGAATGCCTCAGTTGTTCCAGCTTCTTCTGTCCGTGCACCTCTTCTGTAATGAAGAATAAAAATAATGACATCAGAGAAAATATATTTTTATTCTGTAGCAGAAAACGACCCAAAAAACCGTTATGTTACAGATCTTCAAAACGTCGGCTGAAGATATGCCTCACCTTTTCTGTTTCTGTTTCTTGGAGAGAAGAACGATGGTGGTAATCATTAGAATCAGCGCTGCAGCTCCAATAACTGAACCGGCTACAATTCCTGGAATATTATCTGAAAATAATATGTTTTTTTAAACCAGAGACTCCAGCACAATAAGTCTTAACATAAGTTAGTTTGATTTGATTATTTTTCTTTCCTTTTTTGGTACCTTAGCTGATACTTAACTCCATAGATTCAGGAAGGAAAGAAGAGTACATGCAACAAGGATTTAGATTTGTTCAGCATAGCATTTGAGAGCATGTACTGTATTTGTTTGAAAAGAGAGAAACCAGGCAGGGAAAAGTTAATCAATGACCTTTGTGATCATGCTACAATTGACTTCTCCACCTTATGTCTTAGTTAATTTCTATTGAGAATGAAGGCATTGTTCTAGATATACCAATGTCGGTCGATTGGTTAAACACTTAAAAACCTGGGGCAGACAGACAATCAGTGTGACCCTAAGATCAAATCCAAATCACTTTGTCTATTTTCTGACTTTTTAGCTACACAACACTTGTAGTGTATTATGAATACCTGTTGTCATGTTTGACATTCTTATCAACCAGTCAGAAAGCAGACCGTTTTCATTTCTATGTGGAAAAGTAATTGTCACATTGGGCCCACAGCTAAGGGCAATGCCCATAGAAGCAAGGTGATTGAATAAATCATTTGTTCATTTTCCAAGGCATTTCAGAATTGTAGGCATAAGACAGGTCTTGACTGTGTGAAAGGCCTCCTCATACTGACATTGAGAGTCAATACAAATATAGTAGCTTGGATACATAATCATTTGTTCCAAAATATTTTGAAAGTGATTTAATTGTTTGTGTATTCCAACACTTTAGAGCTGATTCGTTTGATTAAAGAATGCACTCACACACATGCATGGCACGCACTGCTGATTTGTGAAGATAAAATCATTGGAAATGAGAGATTTTATAATTTATTCATACTGGGAACCACACAGTTTGTGTCTCCTCCAGACCACACGCCGTCCCACTGGCATACGCGCAACGATGGTCCTGTGAGAGTGAAGCCTTCGTTGCAGAAAAGGTTCACCTTAGCCCCCTGTAGATATGTGGTCCCCTCCTTCTTTCCATTACTTGGTGGTGAAAACCATCCACAGGATATCACTGCAAAGCACAGCAATAACTCATACGGTGAAACCAAGTCTCAGCAACCACTCATTCATCACATATATGTTTATACACTCACCTGGCTTTAGATCTTCTTCAAGAGAAATGTGACTTTGATAAGATATTTTTGACGCGTTTCCCATTCTGGGACTACGACCCACCAGGATATCGTACCTACAGGACATAGGTGATCATAAAATTCAAATATAGTGTACAATTAAATCATAAGCAGTGGGTATATCATTACTTTAAATGTCTTTTGGAGAGATTTCTTGCCTGGCCAATTTCCATCTTATTCAAACTAATACCTTTAGTTTATCACAAGGACATCATCAGGGTTATTTTTTAAGACTTAATTTGAGAAAGCTAATGTAAGACCCACCTAAGACATAATTTAAACTTCTTTCACATGCTAAACTGTAGGCCTACTCCTTAAGACAAGTAAACTGAACTTCATGTGTAAAGGTGTAAAAGCATGGTCTTATTTTTACTGAGATGGCTAACATTAGTTTTTTAACAAAAAGGACACCTTTTTTAATGATTAATAATATTGAGATAAAGAACATTTTTGTCTCGTAGCCTACCTGCAGAACTGAGAGCCCGGTCCCGAGCATATCTCAGACGTCTGATTAGCTAATGGGTCATTAGGATTCTCCGGGATAGAAAACACTGGAAGAAAACTTGCGTCATGTCTGGGAGCATACAAAAATGTGTCAAAAAGATATTCTGAATCATATGTGAACAATGCAGACTGGTTGGAGATGGCCCCTGTAAGACAAAATAGAAAGATACTATTAAACGTTTTTTTATTTTAAGTGGAAAATCTGCAACATTAACATAGTTTGCACGAACAGACAAAAGAGAACATTAAAATATCTCCATGAAAGCATGCCAAGAAGTGTACATGACCCAAAAGAAGAGCAGTATGGAATGGCGAAAAATACCTTACACTTTGGGTAGCTATGTTTAATTATTCCTTACTAATGTCCATGATAACTTCTACTGTGAGTTATGAATACATGTAAAGCTCCAGGTTTTCTTTTTTAATTTCACTCGTGTTTAGCGCTTCCTGTTTTATTTTGATACTCAGCTCTCACTTCCTGCCCTAGTTTGTTTTCCCGCCAGTTTTGATAGCTGGCCTGATTAGCTTAACTTGTTTCTCATTAGCACGGCAATCACCAGGCCTCTGCTCTGGTACCACTTCCCATTTAGTCCGTCACTACTTATACCGGTCGTATGTAGATGGATCTGTTTGCCTGTGACTTCATGCCTGTAAGCCATTTTAAATATCCATTGAACTGTTGCTGCTTCATCTGTATCTGTGTTTAGTTATTTCTCCTGCTACCTGTACTCCGAATCTTAACACATGAACTAAATTAGTATTACCCACCAATCGAATCAATCATTAGCTTCACTCTCCCATTTCACTAAACAAAAGTGTTTCTATTCCTTATGTGGAAATATAATCTAATCTAAATGTAATACATACCAACAACTGTAATATATGTTTCAAATATCATGCTAATTTCATATTGAATTAGGTTTTGTGGGTATACAACATATGAATTTCATTCATATGTCACATGGTGAAATATTTGTTAATAGTTTATATTGCTTGGCTTTTATGTATATTTTGTATATTCCGTTTGATTATTGTGTGCTTCTTTTGGATTGGTGCATTGTGTAATTTTTAACTGGTTTTACTTCCTGTTTCATGCTTTTATTTTGAAATGTTTTAGACTGTGTTTTTAACCCCTTTATTCATGAAAGAAGGTAAGCAACCTAATGCAAACACCACATGCATTTTGAACAACAGGCATATCAATCTGAGTTATGAATAATGTCTTACAGCCTGCCCCAAAGCTGAACACCTCCTCTGGATTTGTGAGATTCTGCACGAGTTCCCCGTAGGTGAAAGCGAGGTCGTCTTTGGGGTCACCGTTCATTTTTCCCAGCAGTCCCATGGTGGTGTCTATGAACTCTTCAGGCAGGAGTACGGTGGTGGTCATGGTTCCCTCTCTCAGGCGCATTTCCACTCCAGCTCCACTGCTGAACATCACGGTCACATTGGAAGAGGTAGGAGAAAACACATACACACCTAGAAAAGAGATGGGGTCAGGAAAACGTTTTGTAGTCTAGCTGTCAAATGAAATGAACAAAGGGATACCATTTATAGATTTAATCATGGATACAAAGATAAATCAGGCTCTCACCCTGTAGGTCCATCCAACTCTGCTCAGAAAAGGAGAGTGTTTTTTGATTCTGCAGCACCTCAAGGCCATTATGACCGCTGACCAGCCGCACCTCAATAATATCAGAGGGTGTTTCTTGCATGGCTACAGACGTCAACTGTGTTGCTTTTACAGTTCCTAATAGTAAGAGAATCAGAGCAATGACATACGAAAAATGTTTTAATGTGCATTGTGTACTTTATAGAAATGAGTACTATATAATTGACATAACACTGAAGAGACGTAAGACATGCATTTAAAACATCTAAATGCCTTAAGTAACTCACCATTTACAGGCTCAGTTCTGCCTTGAATTGTCAGCCCTTTCGCAAAAGAAGTCACCAAAGTGTATTCCCCAAAGCCATTGAAGGAGTAGCTGACGCCATCGAATGTTATGAAGTGGGGATCTCCAAACACCACAGCTGCCATTACACACACAAAAGTAAGAATTGCATTTCAAATAGTCGCTTAAAAACTCATTAATATTGTGCTAAATGATTTACTTACCTGAGCTGGGGGACTTGTACCGTCTGCAGTCGCTGGAGGGCCGGTGTTTGAAGTAGAAGTGGCAGTTGTCAGACCACAGGCAGCAGTAGTAGAAACTCAGGACGTCGTACACCCAGTGGGACTGTCCTGGGATTCGAGGGGGTTTCTTGAATGGAGGTGAGCCCCAGTCGTGTGCTCGGTCTGGAGTACTTCCCCCAATCGAGTCTGCGGTCAGCACCTGAGCACCGGTGCTGTCATAGCAACACTGTTGTCCCGCTGCATACATTGGACTGTTGATAAATATCCAAAAACAAATTCAGTTAGATGTTGAACCCCGATGCAACAAGTAAGGAGCTACACTAGAGGCTCTGTGAGACTACACTCAATGTTAACGTGAGGATTCAAGATTTAAAGGCTTTTTGCAATATATGCTCTACAGTAGCTACATTGTAGTTTGTGCAATGAAAATCTTAAGTCAGGCTCCTCCAACAGGGCAACATACAATATGCTTAGAATAAGATGAAAATACATAACAACTCGCAATAGACAAAATGGTTTAAGTTGCATGAAAAAAAGATAAATACATATAAAATAGAATAAGAATGTATATACAGTGGGCTTGAATAAATACACTGTTAACATGCTGGTGTAAGCCATGTGTAAACCATGTTAACCATCGTCATTTAGCCTATTAGCATGCTATCCATGCAGGATTTAATCATAAACTTAAATATTGATAAAGTGTAAGAATATATGTACTGTATGAATGTATGTAAAATGACATAGAAACCCATCTAATATTTTTTGAGATATTACTGTCTTGACATTGCTTAAAAGTATGTAGCCACTTATAATTATCAGCAAGTAAATCAATGAGTGATGCTTGATCAATAAGTGAAATGATATACAGTAGAGCAACTGGACGAGTTGAACGCATCAGTTCCTTACATTAAAATAATTGCACAATAATTAGTACTGAACAAAAATATAAACGCAACACTTTTGTTTTTGCTCCCATTTTTCATGAGATGAACTCAAAGATCTAAAACATTTTCTATATACACAAAATAACCATTTCTCTCAAATATTGTTCACAAATCTAAAAAAATCTGTGATAGTGAGCACTTCTCCTTTGCCGAGATAATCCGTCCCACCTCACAGGTGTGGCATATCAAGATGCTGATTAGACAGCATGATTATTGCAGAGGTGTGCCTTAGGCTGGCCACAATAAAAGGCCACTCTGAAACGTGCAGTTTGCTTTATTGGGGGGGGTCTGGGGGGGTCCGAAAACCAGTCAGTATCTGGTGTAACCACCATTTGCCTCACGCAGTGCAACACATCTCCTTCACATAGAGTTGATCAGGTTGTTGATTGTGGCCTGTGGAATGTTGGTCCACTCCTCTTCAAAGGCTGTGCGAAGTTGCTGGATATTGGCAGGAACTGGAACACGCTGTCGTATACGCCGATCCAGAGCGTCCCAAACATGCTCAATGGGTGACATGTCCGGTGGTGAGTATGCTGGCCATGCAAGAACTGGGATGTTTTCAGCCTCCAGGAATTGTGTACAGATCCTTGCAACATGGGGCCGTGCATTATCATGCTGCAACATGAGGTGATGGTCGTGGATGAATGGCACAACAATGGGCCTCAGGATCTCGTCACCGTATCTCTGTGCATTCACAATGCCATCAATAAAATGCACCTGTGTTCGTCGTCCATAACATACGCCTGCCCATACCATAACCCCCCCACCACCATGGGCCACTCGATTCACAACATTGACATCAGAAAACCGCTCACCCACACGACGCCACACACGCTGTCTGCCATCTGCCCTGAACAGTGAAAACCGGGATTCATCCGTGAAGAGAACACCTCTCCAACGTGCCAGACGCCATCGAATGTGAGCATATGCCCACTCAAGTCGGTTACGACGACAAACCGGAGTCAGGTCGAGACCCCGATGAGGACGACGAGCATGCAGATGAGCTTCCCTGAGACGGTTTCTGACAGTTTGTGCAGAAATTCTTTGGTTATGCAAACCGATTGTTGCAGCAGCTGTCAGAGTGGCTGGTCTCAGACGATCTTGGAGGTGAACATGCTGGATGTGGAGGTCCTGGGCTGGTGTGGTGTGGTTACACGTGGTCTGCGGTTGTGAGGCCGGTTGGATGTACTGCCAAATTCTCTGAAACGCCTTTGGAGACGGCTTTTGGTGGAGAAATGAACATTCAATTCACGGGCAACAGCTCTGGTGGACATTCCTGCTGTCAGCATGCCAATTGCACGCTCCCTCAAAACTTGCGACATCTGTGGCATTGTGCTGTGTGATAAAACTGAACATTTTAGAGTGGCCTTTTATTGTGGCCAGCCTAAGGCACACCTGTGCAATAATCATGCTGTCTAATCAGCATCTTGATATGCCACACCTGTGAGGTGGGATGGATTATCTCGGCAAAGGAGAAGTGCTCACTATCACAGATTTTTTCAGATTTGTGAACAATATTTGAGAGAAATGGTTGTTTTGTGTATATAGAAAATGTTTTAGATCTTTGAGTTCATCTCATGAAAAATGAGAGCAAAAACAAAAGTGTTACATTTATATTTTTGTTCAGTGTATATCAAATTTAAATTAGTGGTAAAACCTCTACAATAGTGTTTTTGCGACGGCTTCCTCAACTGTGTACATTTGTTTCTGTTTCTGTCCTTCCTTCTAGACACCCACTAACCAAAGCCATTGAAACTCTTTGAAGCTTTATTGCCATTCTGTCCACCAGATGCCCGAGTTTCCTCAGCCCGGTCACATGACTCCCAAGACCTGCTGTCTCATATCCCAATCACCCTGTACAAATAAGCCTCCTATTTCCCCTGTCAGTGACCCTTAATCTGCATGCCCCCTTTCCCGTGTCCTTTAGTTTGCACAAGCAATATAAGGCGGTTATTTACCGTAAGTGCTTTATTTCGGGTGAGGTAGCATGGGCGAGGTAAGGTGTGGGCAAGTCTTTGAGGTTATAGATTTGAGTATGTTTCGGATTAATTGCAAATGCATTTATAATATTTAAAATAAAAAGTTGACATCTGACCGTGAGAGTGTAGGACTCACCTGGCCTGTATAGCCCTCACACAGTGAACACATCCTGGGTGGTAGGTGCACACACTCCCCTTCTCTATGTCACAGCCATAGTCTGTCTGCGGAGAGAGATACAGCCTTTATAACCGATGTTCATACAAATACTGCAGTCCAGAAGCATATCATTATAGTACCATTTATAATAAAAATGATATTAATGTGACAAAGGCAACCACTCAGATGGTCCATTCGCTTGTGTGATGATTCACACGGAATCCTCATCAATACACTCACCAATCATTGCAGGTCAGTAATGGCTTTGCCTAACCCTAGTTGTAAAATGTTTAAGATAAAAGGCAACAGATCGATGCTAGAATGTGTTCTGCTTGTAAATAGACCCCTGCCTGTCTTTGTAATGATAAACACAAAAAGCAATTACACGCTTTTATCTGGGTAATGCCTTACAACTCCCACACTGTGATGACATCTCTTTTCCATTTACTCCTGACGTTTTACTTTGCAAGTGTGATTGATGTTTATCTGTGCAAAATGATTATCAAAGTAATTAACCTGTAAAATAATGGTGTGTCTGTGTAGGGTTAGGGGTTACTAACCCTTTTAACAAGGCTGTCAAGTGATGGCACTATCCAAATCTATTCGTGATACCTCACATGATACAATGCAACTTTATTGTCAGTGTACACATGTTACTGCATGTTAAAACTAAGTGGTTCATTATCTTGAACTTTCTAAGAATGCAAAGTTAATATCAGTGTGGACAAACTCACAACAAAAGTTACATTTAAGTGCAGCAAGTTTAGATTTGGCTGCAATCATTTGAGATAGCTTTGTGAATGAGGTTTTAACAAACTTACATGAAACCTCCCTGTGTCTGCTCTCGCTTGAGCCAGGGTGCAGGGGCAGTCTATGATCTCACTCAGGAAGTTGGGCAGCTCGTTCTCCAGCTGGTCCCATGCTACACATTTATCCAGGGCCCAAACTGTCGAGTTCTGCCTGAACTTCTCCTCCAGATGCCAGGCCAGAGCGTGATCCTCCGTCCATGCGGCCTGCACATTCCTAAATGAAACGCATGACGAACACTCTACAGCTGACAAGTATGTTAAGATGTTTAGTGACAGTACATCTTGAAGGGTATTTGCACCACATACCACATGCCATCAGGGTAGATGCTGGGGCTGATGCGTAGAGAGCCAAGCTCCCAACTTGAAAAGCCGTTCTCTGCTGGTTTAGGCAAGAAACTAAAGGAACCACTGTTGGGCTGATCCTTTGCAAGCGAGTACAGATACGCCCACTCACCAAGCCAGCTGTCTGTATATGGTTCTCCTACAGAGAAACATTTCACAGATTCAGTGTTTTTCACCATTAATCTCCAATGTGTAAATGTAGTGTAGGAATAGGCTTACTCACCTGTCTCCCTGTACCCCCAGAGCTCTATGTTGACCCTCTCCGCTCTGACCAAAGACGTATTCCATGTCATCTGAAGGTTGCCACGGACATCAGTTGTACCATAGTACTGCCATTTTGTTGAGTTGACCAGAATCGCCTTGAACTTAGCATCTAACTTTCCAGTATGTACTGTACCAACACATTTGAATGAAACAAATCATTATGTTAATGTCAAAAGCAATTGGAAAACTGAATAAATTGTTAGTCATCTTAAAAGCGCTATGCAGATAGATACAGTACCTGAGAGCCAGGCTCCAGTAATATTAAACGTAGTGCCATTATCAGAGGAGATGCTCAAAGGAACCCACCCTGTTTCGTACAAAAGTGGGGAAATGCAATGGCCTCTACTGGTTTCATCCACATACCCCTCCGTTTTGATATTGTCATGGAACCTGCCATTATAAAAGAAGAATCAGCAAGTTGTTTTTAATGAAGTCACGTTTCTTTTTACTGTAATACCAGAGAAAACAGTTAACATCCCAGAAAAAGCTCAAATGGAAGACTTGTATTCTTATATTATTGTCTACCAAGTCATTGTATATCTTGGTAGTCAATAATATAAGTATAAACGTTTTTTATTCAGCTTTTATCAAATGTATCACTAGAACAGGTTTAGCACCAAGTCAACACGGAAGTGTGAAAGAAAGTCTTACCTGCATACAATCTTTGAGCTATTATTAAAAGTTGCGTTAAGGACAATAACATCTGTCCCACCCAAAATGGACCCGGAGTATGGAAGGATCTCCACACAGTATTCTCTGTAATCTGTACAGCAGTTCCCTAGAGAGGTGCATGTTGAGTGGCATGAACACAAATCTAGTTTTTTGCCACAGTTTCCTTCACATGTCTGACCTGTTTTTATAAGGAGAAAGAGGAGTTAAGTCTGGAGTGTGTGTTTCAGAAACAATTTAAAGTTATAGAAACATATTTTCAAATGTAAGAGATGAAGTGCAGTCTTTAGTTACTTACCTAATGTCCTGCAGATACATGAAACCAGAAGGACAAATATAACTACAGTGAATCTGTCCATCATGGCTGAGGGAAACTGCTGCTCTCTTGGCTGGCTTTCTCTGAATTTGTTCCAGGATTATGTACTCGGCATGTTTCTAAACCTTGGCCCTTTTTTATCACAGGCATTTAAAAACCTCTGTTTAATCATTAACTTGATGTCATTACGTTTATAATTCTGACTGACTCTATCACCAATATGTCTACCTTTGACCATTTGTCCCTCCGTGCCAATCAGTTAGTCACATTTATTATCTACTTGATGGATTTTAGATTGTAAAGCTGGCGGAAACTCATTTAGGCTCTTAAAACGACGTACGATCATATTTAGATAAAGATATAACAATTAGGGAGATATACACATATAAAACCTGCTTTCATACATCAAATATAAGCCAACAGTGATGTGAAATACATGACTTACTTACAGTATTTAATTCCTATTTCAAGATTATGCAATCCTCAATCAATTTGTATTACCATTAGTCCAAATAGGGCCTTCTTGAGTTTAAACCTGTTGGCAATATAACAAACTAGACAGGCAAGTAAATACATAAATTAGGGGTGCACCGAATGGGAAATTCTTGGCCGAAACCGATACCGAAAATAGGAAACAGTTGGCCGAAAACCGAATGCCGAAAGGCCGAAAAATGATTAATAGAAATATATATATATAATGTATACATTTTTTTACCAATGTTGTTCAGCTACCTGATTATGGAAATAGACATGATTATGGCAAAACTTAACTTAAATAATAATCACTATTATGGGTCCATAAAACATTTATTCAGCACTTTTGAATGCATACAGTACATTTATATATGTCATGTATTATTGCTAAAAAACATTATATCGCAGTCTTAGTGTCGCCAACTCGTTTCTAATATGCAAAGACAACAAATGCGTATATGATGTATTTTCGATCAGACGAGATCTCTCTCCCCCGTCTGTGTGCGAGGGGGCGGGGCAGTTTACACACACGCAGCTGCTACATGCAGCGGAGCACACTGCGGAGATGGCGGAGAGAACGCGCTCCGAGGTGTGGTTAAACTTTACCCGTCTCGATGTGGAGAATACTTGTTACCATAAGTGCAATAAGAGTTTAGCATGTAAGCACGAGCAATTTGTCTAAACATTTAGCAAAAGTGCACCGCATGCAGACGGAGGAATGCACCGGGTTCCACTGTCTTTCTAGCAGCTCTGTAGCTCCATCCACGAGTAACGTTTCCACGTCAGGTGTTATGTATGCTAGCAGCAACACACGGAGTTAACTCCATGATACAAACATGGGTTAATGATTAGAGGAAACTGAGTTATTTAGTTTGTTAACATTTCAGCTATTCTGCTTACAGTCTGTCATCAGATTATTTAATACGATTTGTTAAAGGCTCAGGGCAATCTCGATGACAAAGGTCAATGTCGTCGTCGTCCCCCCCCCCCCCCCCCCCCTGTGAGCCAGCCGCGAGCATGGTCGCCGCGTCTTTATTACGTCATCACAACAACACGTTAGGTTACCAACGTAAGCCTGTTCTGACATTCGGTGATATTTTTTCGGTGCTAAAACCCGAAAGTCGAAAGGGCCTTTTTAACCATTTTCGGCCGATAATTTTCGGTGGCCGAATATTCGGTGCATCCCTAACATAAATGTTACATTTGAGAAGGCAAAAGACCTGCATAATAAAATTACAATGGAAACGATTGCATTGAGTTATGATTGTGCACTTTTCAGCCTGAATATTACCATACCAACATTGTGAAAAGCTGACACCATACAGCTTAGACTTATAAAGCTTCACTTTTGCCCATTAAGGACCCAAAAATAGCATTTTGAGGATTTAAGAGGAACACAGCTTACTAGCAGAGCTTTAAGACCTTTATGTGTAATGTCGATATATGTGTTGTCCAGCAGAGGGTGCTGCAGATTAAGCTACTGCACATTTGAATGCTGCTCTCTGAGATAAAATGAATAGTTCAAAACACAAAAAGTTGAAATATTTCCTGGCTACCACATACAGTAGGCATCACCTTTACATTTAAAGATGGATGGAATTGTATATTTGTCTCAACTTCATCACAGAAAATGGTGTGGATTTTCCACAGAGGTTCATTGCCAAACCTTAATACAATCGCCAAAGAGGAGCCTGTAGGTCCAGCTTCTGACCTGTAGAGGAAGCTGCTACCCCACACATCAGTTTAGTGATGTATTGAAACTTAAATTGTGTATATTTTCTAATAAATAGGAATTTACTCCCAATAATTCCTCATGCTTTTCACACAGTGTCTATTGGTGTTCAAATAGTTTTAATGTAACATAAGTGAGGTATTAGAAACATGAATGGCTGCACACATACGTAATTTTCTTCTATGATCATTTCAGATATATTCAATACAAAGAAAGATTACAAACAAGTGCTTCTATTCATTAAGGATGGTTGATTTCCATGATTTTTCGCAGGGATCAGTTTGTTCAATTAAAGATACTTTAAACTCTACTCTTAATAAATGAATATAGACTCTACTATTAGCTTGGGTTCTGCTCTCTACAACTTGGATATTGGCAGTGTAATATTTGCATTTACATGATTGGATAACATTGTTATAAAGATGCAAAAAGGAAAAACCAGCTGACATGAAACACAATTGGCAACAACCATGGAGAGGGATTACAGAACAAACTCGGCTGTTACTAAAGATTTGCAGCAACGTCATCGCATATTACTGGCAGCATCATCTGGACTTGGTTTTTGTAGACTCCTAAAGAAAATAAGTAAAAAGCTTGGTTCATTATTTATGCCAATAAGTGTTTTGATGTTTTCCTAACATGATGAAGTCCACACTCACCACCATCAAGTGTCCGTTCTTCGCCCTGTACACCATGGACTCCTGGCCACTCTTGAAGTCCACAAACCCCTCTCTGCCAGGCTGGATGTCAAACCGCACACTGCAGGGGATCATTTCACATTGTATTAGGATTTCATAAGGATTACCATTAGCTTATGCAAAACCCCAGCTACTCTTCCTAGGGTCCACACAAAACATTTAAACAAGTGCCACTTACATACAAAACAACCAAATGTAGTGAAAATCCGGAGAGTATAGCTAACAGCTAAACACATTACTTTACATATTCTATCAATCTTGCAACATATTCCCAACATTCAAATAAAAAAGGTACAAAAAGTGGGTTTTATTAGTAGGACTATTAAGTTTTGCTTCACTTGTTTTACAAGCTGGCTTTATAATGTGCTCTTTATCTGAGCAGAAGGTTGCACAACCCCAAAAAAATTGTGACATCACAAAGTGGCCTAAATCTGATCAGTTCATTTTGCATAGTAGGTGACCTTTAAGTAGTGTAATATCTATAATGTAGTGACCTCTGGTATGTAAGGGCTGAATATGAGGAGCATTACATTAGGCTTATTATCGCAAACATTTATATTTCTATCTTTCAGATTATTATGAATACATATAGAGTACCTGCCCTGGACCACTTTGATGGAGTTCTGCTTGTTGGCAATAAGACTGAGCTTGGTCAGGGCCTCAAACAGGTAGTCGCTCTGCAGAACCAGATCCCCCTGAAAAACAAATAGTGTCAGACCGTCAACTATAATATGTGATGATTGTATTATCCCTAAACCTTAAATGAACTAATTCATAAATTAATGGATCTTTGTTAGCGGCACAATTCATCACATTCATTGATTTCTTTAAGTTCATCCTTTTGGGGAAGGTATTTAGCCCGTTATTTACACTAGTTTTGACATTTTAAAGACAATAAAAAACATTCTTTTAGCTCTATCTAGAGATAGCTGTACCTTTTGCTTCATGTCATCACATGTAACATGCAGGATCAGGAAGTTGTCACTCAGGTTGCTGACGGACACACCTTTAATAGAAATGTGTATGTTACCACAATTCTCAAGTGTGTGGGTAGCTCTTCCTACGAATACTGATGCATATTTTGTTACAATCGAAACCTTTCAGAGAGATGTAATCCATCCGCTGCTTGATCTTGGTCTCCTCCACCAGGTAGGCGGCTTCCTTGGTGAGGATGAGCTGCCGGAAACGAGGCCTGAACCCGTTCCTGTCGTACTTCACCACTGGCACGCTGTACTGTGGGAGCAACACACACACACACACACACACACACACACACGGTCAGAGTGCACTACCAAAAGTTTAAAGATGCTTAATAGATTCCAGTGTTAGGGTACCTTGATTTGCTCGTGCCGAATCATCTGAAGCACTTTGATGCTTATGTCCTCTGCACCTTAATAACATAAATGAATCCACGAGAGAGGAGAACAACTATTGGTTACTGTCACAGTAAGAACGTGCTTATCAATGTAAAGTATCTGATCATGTTAAATCAAGTGTTGTCGTTTTTAATTTGTGGATACAAATGTACTGTTGCTACAATCTAGAAAGAAATATTCCACATTTTAAAAAGTAAATCTAGAAAAGCACGAGTACATCTGATCTAATGTTAAGTACTACTGGCTTCTACAGTTTCCCCAGGATATAATAACTAATTGTGTGTTGTCATGCATGTGTGCTTTACTTGAAAGTAATAGTATTGTACTTATGTAAATACACTCACCACTAACCCAATACAATATCTTAGCAATCTTACCTATCCTGGTATCCATGAATGGTCTGCCCACACTGGAGGGGTAGCTTTCTTTTTTCCCTTTGAACATGGAGCTTGTCTGTGCTTTTAACAGAAGCTTGAAACATGGAAAGCATATGAAAGCAAAGTCAATTCAGACAAGATACTTTATCCCCAAGTGAAGTTGCCTGGGACTCATGTGTTGCCCACAAACTTTATTTAAGTGATTTTGAATGTAGCATTTATACGCTGTCAGTGCATGTAACGACACAAATGTTTGTATCATTGTGTGTGACAGAGCGTGGATGTACCTGTGCTTTCCTCTGTGGAGTGATCCCTCGAACGTACTTCCGTACCATGAGGCGAATGTACAGCTTCTTCAACAGCTGAGCAGCCTAGAAAAACACAGCTTTACAGTGTGCCTGAGGGCTTATACTGTACCTAGAAACAGTAGATGTCAAAATGTA